TCAGGAGCAGCAGGCACTTCTGTTGAACTCTGTTTTGCAGGTGTGGTAGGCACTTCTCTGGAACCCTGTTTCACAGGAGTGGCTGGCACTTCACCATTGATACTTTCTAAAGCACTAACAGACATCAAGCTTTTCCGCTCTTTGGAAGTTGATTTGTTCTCTACTTTTGTGACTCTAAACCTGAAAGGAGCAACAGAAGAACAAATTTAGGATAGTTCCTCCCTGCAGATTCATTAACTAGCTATTGACATTCCACCGTCTATGTAGGAAACAAGAGTTTTTTTTAAAGGGAGGCTTCAAGAACACACCAGGACCCCTAGATTTGCAACTTTCTAAGGGTCTTGTGACTGGATCATATCCACTTCTCCTGGAAAAAAATAAAGATCTCTTTATAACAGGACTGCAATACAGGGTGGGCAATCATGAGAAGCTGAAACAGCATTGCCACCTCATCCAAATTAACACCTATGCACCCAGTGAAAGGCAAGAAAGGGCACGCTTCTTCAGGAAGTTAGCTGACCTCTTACAGACTGCAGTCAATGACAATGAGCTCCTCATCCTAGGAGATGATTTTAACTGCATTCTCCAAGGAAATCTTAACCAGAATAGACCAGAGGCCCATTCACCCTCCACTCGACAGCTGCAGACCACTTTACCAGTGTTAAGCCTATCCAATGTGTGGCAGCACCCCCCAGTGTGTGACAATGCACCTGGGTGAAGGCGAACACCAAAAGGCTCTCCATGGCTCACCTAGATTAAGTCTACATCATTGTACACCACCTGCCTCTGTGGTCAATCATAACTTTCAGACCATAACCTGGTCTGGTGTGAATTGGGCTTTCCTAACTCAAATCACAGCTAAGCACCCTTTTGGTACCCCCATGTTAACCTCTTGCAGGACCCTCCCTTTTGAGACTGTTCCCTGTACCTCTGACACACCTGGGCAGCCATGAGATGCAATGTCCCCTCCTGGAAAGAATGGTAGGAAATAGGAGAAGAACAAATCAAGATTTTCTGCCAAAAATATAAACAAGAGATGAGCCAAGACCACCACCGCAGTGTGCAAGAGCATGAGAAAAACATTGTGGAGCTTGAGGCTGCCCTAAGGGTACCAGTAATGGCCATGGGATATACAAGAGCCTCAAACTCCAGAAAAAACACTTGAGAGAATTGGCAGAGGGCGCACACCAGGGCAGAAGAATTCAAGCCTGCTTCCAAGAACTCATAGAAGCTGACCCAGTTCTTTTTCAACCCAGAGAAAAGGTGCGCAGAACAAAAGATCATAGACTACCTTAAAATCCCATCAGACCAAGTGCTCATGGTTCCTGCCAAGATCTGAGAGCATGCTGTTAGATTCTACATAGAGCTGTTTGCAGCCAAGCCAAGCCTGCCCAGATGCCATTCAACACCTGTACAAGGGCCTCCACAAGCTCTCCATCTCTGAGGCTGAGGAGCTCAGACAGAAGCTATATTTAGTAGAGCTGATTACTGCTATTGAGGGTGGCACCATAGGGAAGATACCAGGCCTTGATGGATTATCCATCAAATTCTACAAGACATTCTGGCCCCTTCTTGGCCCAGACCTCCTTCACATTTTTCAGAACAGCCTCAAAGACGGGATCCTACCAGTTAGCTGCTAGTGAGCAGCCCTCCTACCGCTGTCAAAGAAAGGGGGTCTTAGTGACACTAAGAGCTGGTGACTGGTATCACTGCTACGTGCTGATTACAAAACCCTAGCCAATTGGCTCAAAATGGTGATGGTCGTCATCACAGGTCCCAAACAAAGCTATTGAGTATGTGACAGAGCCGTCCAGGACAACCTGTTTCTGCTACATGACCTGAAGACAGCTGCAGAACCCCACGGCTTGAACACTGGCCTCGTCTCCCCCGATCAAGAGAAAGTCTTTGATCAGGTTAACCACAACTTCTTATTCCAGCCTCTATAAGCCTTCAGCTTTGGGCTCCCCTTCACCTCAACCACCTGACGCCTGTACTGAGGCATCTCTAAACTCCTGAAGGTGTATGGAACATCATGTGCCCCATTTACAGCACACAGGAGCATTTAGCGTTGTTGCCCCCTTTCCAGAATGCTCTACACCCTAACCATTGAGCCACTATGCCACATACTGTAGCAGTGCCTGACAGGCCTGGCCCTCCCATTGCTCGCTTCCATGGTTGCTGACACCCTCCCGTTAAGGTGACAGTATATGCCAATGATGTACCAATTATTATGTCTGTTTTTGTGAGCACCGAGAGTGATGTTCAGCCCTTGATCGAACACCAGTTGGGCATACAAGTGTGCTGCTTCAGCCCATATCAGCTGGGCTAAAAGCAACAGATTTCTCTCGGGCATCTGAGCCAATACTCAGCCCCTAGATCTGCCTGGAGGTTTGTCCTGGTACTGCAATGGTTTCAAAGCCCTGGGCATTTTCCTAGACATGCCAGTCAATCTAGCCAAGAACTGCGAAGGCCTCAGGGTGGAGGCTGAAGACATCCTGGACCTTCCAGTGACTAAGAGGCTTGAGAAGTTCCTTGTGGACTTATTCTGGAATGGGCACCACTGACTCCAGTAGACTGTCCTCTAGCTGCCTGCTGAGAAGGGTCAGAGCCTGACCGCACTGACAAGCAGGGTAGCTGTCTTTCTCCTACAAGCCTTCAGTGCCTGCTTTTTGTTGTGAACACTTTCCCCAACCATGGCTGGCCTTTGAGTTCCTGCATTAGGTGGGATATCTTAACCTCAATTGGAAATTTTTCCTTTTGAATCCTGATTGCCTTGGCTGGGATGTCTTCCCACCCTTCTACCTCTGGGCCTACTGGGCCTCCTTCCAACTGAGACCCCAGAGCAGGTGCCTGTGATTTCCACAGCTGCTGCTGGAGTCCCTGGTTTACAATTTGGTCTTGCAGCAGGGAACACAGAGCCTCACCTCCTGAAGGCTCACTCATCACTTCCTTCGTCCAACTGCACACCATCAAGCTGATTCACTTCTTCAACAACGTGGTCCACAGGGCTCTTGGCAAAAGACCTGGATGACCAGTGGATCCTGCAATCCATCCACTTTACTTCATGCCTCTTGGCTGAAGTGAAAGCTACCCTTCCTGTGGGTGCACTCCCAGATGGCAGCTCACTAGATAAATCTACCCTCCCCCACCTCCCCCTAACTGCTGCCTGGTTTTGTGGCCGGGCCTGTCAAAGATCTAAGTCTTTGATTTCGGATGCCGATGGCAAAAGGTCAGAGGCTAACACAGCAAACTCTGTAATTGTAGTCTATCCCTCTGTACTGACAGTGCTGCATGCACACACCCTTGTTTGTGCCTCATTTCAAATCACTTGAGCTTCTCATACGAGAGAGAAACTAACCTTGACAGCCCAGCACGAAAGATAACGTTCCCATTAGCAACGAGATTAGCTGACTTTAATGAAACTGTAAGATCAGAATAATGTGCCGTGCTTACCCTCTTGTGACCAAACAGGCTCAGTACCACCTAAACTAAAAGAAAGCTCCCCCCCCTTTTTTGAAGGATGGGCTGCCAGTCTGAAACCTGAGCGAACAAAGAAAGCACGATTGCCAGCCTGTTAATTATTCATGCCTGGCGTGTAATAATTGGCCACCTTGCCGAGTATAACTTTGAAAGAACTTCCACCCAAAGCGAAGAACTCTCCACACACACACCCAGGAGACACAGTTTGTAAACTGGCCTCTTACAAACATCTCCCTGCCTCCGAACCTTATCTCGGCGTAATCGTCTTTTGCCAGCTCGTTATCTTTCTTATCAAGAGCTCTCGGTAGTCTGCAGACCGTAGTAACTTGTGTGAATCGCTCGGAACCCGTAACAAGCAAGTCTCTTACCCACCCTGTAAATGCTGGGTAACATGATATCTGCATGCTGTAACTGAACAAATCAACTCCTCTTCCTACGCTGCAACCATCAGTAGCGTAAGTGAAATAAACTTTCTGTGTAACCAATATGCTTTAAGTCAGCTGACTCCCACTCGCCGTTAACACCCAACTGTCTGATCTTTAACCCCTTTCGCGCCAAGCCGGTCATGCCGACCCAGGGTCGTAGGTCAAGGGTGCACCAGTCTTCTGGGCACGACAGGGGGCAGAGATGAGAGTAAGGGGTCTAGTACCCTACTGTCCCTCCCCATGCCCAATGAGAACAGTGGTGGGACCTGCTTTGAGATCCTATTTGGGAAGGATCATGTACACGTGAACAGTCAAAGTGCATCATGCCTGTGTCCTCGACATCCACCCTGACATAACTTGGAGGTGGTGCCTAGTGGAAGAAACACCAGCAGAAGCCCACCCAGCCTGGCACACCCCGTACAAGTTACCTATCACCAAAATAACTGGCAACATCCAGTGGCAGCCGCTGTACAAGACCCTAGCCATAGGGACCTTCGTCCACCACTTATACCTGGCAGCATCAGTGGTCTGCCCTTTCTCTTCCATGCCTTCCTGAACTCTCCCCAGCTGTGACTACGCTCTGCTACCCTCAGCACCCTCTTTGGCATGCTGGATTTGGACTTCTTCAAGATGGCATCTACCTGAGTGGCTGAGAAAAACATGATCTGTATGGCCAATTTTCTGCCGGGCCAGGCCAATATGGCAACTCAGAAAAGCCACAGGAACCAGCTCACAAGGACCACCTCCTACAATACTCTACAACTCTTCTGCTTCTTTGTTCAGATACATGTCACATCTGAATATGGACACTTCAGCGTACAACTGTGTACCAGTTTGGGTTGTGTTGGGCCACTGAGGAGGCACTCTGCAAGGTAGAAGATGAACAGCAGGTCTTAAATGTGTAACCCCATGAAAGGCGTTGCAGCGGAGAAGGATTCAATCTCTGATGATGTGATATTTTTGTTGCTGACAGGGGTGCACCAATAGAGATTTTTGGGGCCGATACCGATACCCGATTTTTAAGGAGCCATCTCAGCCAACACTGATCCGATTTCTGATACAGCATGGAGAGCTGCGTGCAGCTGGTAAGTCTGTTGTGGTGGAAGGGTGGTGGGGAGGAAGGGAAGTGGGGGAGCAACTGTGGTTGCTGCAGGTTACTACTGCCCAAGTGCAGCACCCTGAACTTGTCAGTATTGAAACGCATCCTGTTTTTGTTAGCTCACAACTGTAACCTATCCAGGTCTTGCTGCAGTTCTTCCCTCCCTACTAGCATGC